TGTTGTGGGCTTTGATGGTGCTGCCCATGTTTCTTGTGCAACTGTAGCTAAGTTTTACGTTGTTCTTGTTGAAAAATTTGTGCAAGGTGCTGTCTTTGTGGAAGTGCTTTTTGACCAGATTTTCTTTATACATCCTAAATCTGTTTACATTTACAAATCTAGATGTGTATAAGAGACAGAAATAAAAAAAAAAAAAAAATTCCACTGTAATGATATCTTATCATCATCATTTATTTCGTCGATAATAATATTGATACAAATAAAGACAAACAATATTACAAGATAGGAATACAAGTGCTTAAAAAAGATTTTTAAAAAATATCAAAACTCGACAGTTAAGTAAAAAACAAGTGCACTGTCAGGGAGCTCTCTTAATCTGACATAAAAAATAAAATGCATATATAGGCCTGTGCAAAATAAAAAAAAATTAATATTTTGATATATTTTACAAATGCTTCAATAATGAATGTTTAAATGTTCTTTTTACTTTATTTTATTAACAAATGTTTTACATGCATAAGAATAGAAGGATAAAAACGCTAAATATTTAAGATATAAGAAAAATAAAAGCACTAAAAAAACACAAAGCATAGGATGATGCATCTATTTTCTTTCTGAATGGATGATGTAAAGAAAGTACATAATTTCTACCTTAATTAGCTTTTTGGAATCTTCTCCAAACTTCCTTCAGACAAGCAAGTATCATCCATCTCTTCTTTCCAGTGTGCTATTTACACAGGTAAGAGATACATTGTATTTTGCGCTATATAAATTTAAAACCATTAACCATCAAATATTAATTATCTTATTTTTACCATATAATTCCTATGTGAAATAATCTTGTAATGATGTATATTGTTTGGGTTTGTTAATGGTTTATTTGGTCTATTTATTGTGTGTAGTTGTAGCCTAAATGACTTCCCTCTTCGTTATCTCCACTTTGAGGAGGATCACATGAATTATGAAATTACTGTTTAGGCCTACTGTATCAAGACTAGCTGTATCAAAGATCGTATAGCGCCGCTATAGATCTTTGGCTGTAGGTGTATTACAAAGATCTTATAAACACAAGATCGCGGAGAACTATCCTGTGTTTATAAGATCTTTGCTGTATCACGATTTTTTTTATAGGGGGCGTCAAACACATTGACGATTGTTAAAAATACGAGTGAAGGCTGTTGTTATTGTTTGTTGGATTTGTCATAGTATTGGTGTTATGTATGATAAAACACAGATCCAAAGGTTTGTTAATCTGTCACTTCAATGTTTCTTTGTACTTATATATTTATGAGAGTTTATAAATAATGCCTAAATATGTAGGCCTACTACTACTAAGCCTAGGCCTAGCCTCTCTTCTTTCTTCCATCATCACCGCACTTGGCCTAGATAGTTGGCAATGCGCAGCCTACGCCCTCTGTAGGATAGGCTTAGGCATGCCCATAAAGTACAGATAGCCTAGCTAGGCCTAGCTGATGAGGCCTGCGGTTAAACATCGCCTCGTGGTACTCGGGGCTATTTCGTAGCAAAAATTATGATGCAACGTTTACTGACTTAGGCCTTTTGCCAGTAAGTGTTTACCCTTTAAATTCAAAGTTGAATATAAAAAAAAAAAAAAAACACAAAAAACTACTCATTCTCAGTATTAGGGATTCCAGAGCCCAAATTTATTTCAATAATTTCGCAATTTTTTTTACATCAGCTGAAAGGTGCATGTGTCAATAGCGTTTAGGAAAAAAAATGTTGAAAATCGATCCACTAATTAAGGAGAAATCGTAATTACGCACCTCTAATAATTAACCCACTTTCCTTCACGACCGGTCGGTGCCGTCGCTGGGCTGTTGATTACGTAATGCCTAGCGCCCTCTCTCGATGATGATAGTACTGTAATTAATCATTAATTACTCAATTCGTACGCTTAAGAAATGTTTAATAGTAATTGGAATCGTGTTTGTTATTCAATACAAAGATTTATATGCCAATTTAATTAAACATACATTGCTAATTACAAAGGTAAAGCACACGTGATTACCGAGTGATTTTGACCGTTACCAATGCGTTATCAAGCAAGGTCGAGGTAAGCAGAGCCTGTGTACGCGCAGGCAGTGGTAAATTTTGCAAATCTATCTTGAAGCGCCTTTGCATTGACTGCTGTATTACCTACTCCGATTTTCTAAGCTATTTCAATGTATTTGTTATACTTTTGTCAGATTTTTTTGTGTTTTATATGCATTATTATGAATATATGTTTTTATATTGGAAGAAAGAAATATTCTTATAAGTTATTATATTTCATTAATTTTTTGTTTAGGGTCAAAAAGTATTTAAAATGAATTATTTTATATCATTTGATTTTGCAATAAGAATCTTAAGATATTTGATATGTATATATTTTTTATACTTGATATACACTAACATACTCTTTGTCTCTCTTAACATAGCTTGGGAATTTGAGCCAATATCAACTCTCTAACTCAAAACTGATCCAAAATATATTGCTGTAGACAGAGGATCTTGTGAAATCATGTGGAACTATTAATTCAATATATTGCTACTTGGTTCTTTCACTGGTGTGTTAAATATCGGACGATACCTTTTAATGAATTCATTAATATGTTTTACGTTCATTTGACAAAATTTTAAATTAAGAGAAACATAATCTGATACGAGATACACTTTTTGCATGTTGTTTATTTATATATTTATTCAAAAATGTTAATTTAAATATATTACATTCTCTTTTGTTAAGGGATCATTAATTGAGACAAGTTTTTAACTTCTAATCTGATTCCTAAATCGTAATATATAGATGTATTTTGAACAACGATATCGGTATTTATTTATTTATTTATTTCGGTATAAACATCAAAATACAATTGGTAGCACAAAGGCTAAAAAAATTGTATGTACAAAATATGAATTACAATTATATCAAAATATAAAAACCGTTAAGTATTGCACAAAGGCAAGCACAAGTCATACAAGTATAAAACAGTTAAAAATTGAAAAAAAAAATAACTAGAATAATTAAAAACCACATTAAAAAACAGCAAAATTTAGTCAAAAAAAAAAAAAAAAGAAAAGCGAAAAACATCAATAAGAAGCAACATAAGGTATTCATAGTTCATGTTGTGTATTTTATTTCTAAACAGTTGTATTGAATAATAGCATAGCTACACGGACATAGGTTTTATTCATGTTATGAATTCGAAAGTAGAAATTTTAAGCATTTTTTCGTGTGGGTATTTTCAAAAAATTTGAAATTTACGGTTGTGATTGTGCCCGTGTATTACTCTGCGCGATACGCTTGAAATACGCGTAAAGTACGCCTGGGGTATGCACTACAAAAAGGAACAAAAATTATCAAATCCCTATCCGTATCATAAAAAACATTATTTGAGGAAAATTGAGCCACTAGTTACGGTTTTATAAACATTTGAAGTTTCTGAGCACGAGAATAGCAAGTTGCATGTTATTTCTGTCACTTTTTGCCATGGCCCATATATTTGGGGATCCGCTTCTCCAGCGGATCACCTCTTGTTATTGTCAGAGATCTTTTTTTTTTATTCTACATTTCTCCCCATTTCTATTTTGTACGATATCTCAAAATCGCCACGAGCTACATACATTTCAGCTTCAACGAACATTTGGCTTGGCCTGGAA